ATAGTACTTAGTGAAATTTAAATTACAATCCCTGTGGGTTCGATACTCTTTACTCTATTTCTATATTACAAAACTTGACACCGTACACTTGCGGTATAAAATCACGTTGCATCAATCGTGTGGCAATAGTGTAATTGACTTAAATGGTAACTTTTACTAGTTTTAGTAACTTTTCCAAGATCCTTCATCTTGAATGTGAAAGAATTTCATTTATGTGATTACTCATAATCAACATGTCGTCAACGTATAGGCAAATAAATATCACATAATTTGAACACAAATATTTATCTACACTATTATGTTTAAAGCTAAGTGATATGATATCTAAGTCAAATTTTTTATGTCATTTCTTAGGTTCTTGTTTTAAATCGTATAACAATTTCACTAACTTGCATACATTTTGTTCATTTTCAGGCAGAGCAAATTCTTTAGGATGTTCCATACATTTAGAAATTGTACAATTATAGTACTTAGTGAAATTTAAATTACAATCCCTGTGGGTTCGACACTCTTTGCTCTATTACTATATTACAAAACTTGACACCGTACACTTGCGGTATAAAATCACGTTGCATAAATCGCGTGGCAAGTTTTTGGTGCCGTTGCCGGGGGATTGTTAATTTGATTTTTACTAATATTATTACCAAGTAATTTCTTTTTTAATTTAGATTTTTTTTTTTTGTTAATTTTGGCTATCCACCCTGATCATTTTTGGTATTCTTTCCAGGAACTACGCAATAATGTATGCATGTTTCCAACATTGGCAAGAGAGCATAGCAATTGAAATAAGTAATCTCAACATGGATATAAATGACATGGTTGTTGAAAATGTCTTCTGTCAGATTTGCTGGGAGATGCATTACACCGAGTACTGTTGGCATACACCCATGAACCCCCATACAATAAAGGTTGTAAGGTTTATACATTATTTAAAATGTCGACAAGAAGCGATTGACAACTCTGATGAAGACTATATGCCTTTGGAAGATTATGCACCTGATGATTGGGATGAGGACATCATACTTACGGGAAAAGGTCCTTCTATGCTGAATGAGAGGGTGATTGCAAAGTACTACAATAAACTGGCCAATTTGGAAGAGAGCAAAATATCGATTGGAGATTGGAGTTACTAGAATGAATTGAAAAGGTGGAAATACAATCCACTCGAAGGGGTTAAAAAGAAAGATTCCTCATTGCTTATGGATCTTGAATGTGGATCAATCGGTCAATCCAAAAAATTTTCAATGATCGTAGAAGAGCCTGAAGTGAATGACAACTTGATCACAAAGGAACCAAACGAAGATGTAGAAATCAATGAAGATAAAATCAACATAAATTCGTTCGAATTCATTGATGTTAGAGAAATTGATTTTGTGATTAAGTTCGATGAAGAAGTTGAGGTCTACATTGTTGAGTTTGAATCGGATGGCCTAAAAAGATCCTATTACATTAAAAAGGACAGCGACGAGATCTGGGAAAACAACGAAGAGTGGAGCAAAGTCAAAAGAAGAAAAATGGACAGGGCATCAAAAGCCTTCTTTAAAGTTCCATGATATAATTGCCAAAGTCAAGCTAATGACTATAAAGAAGCGCTTCTTGGGAGGCAACCCAAGCGTTTTATTTTATTTTTATTTTTATTTCGTTTTCTGTTTTTGATTAATATGATAGTTTCAGTTATTTTATAATTTCTATTTAGGAATTCATCAGTTATATCCCGTCTTCCCTTAGGTTTATAAGTAGTCAAGTTGATTATTTGATATTTGAGTTAAGTAACACTTGTTCCATGTATTTAATATCTAAATTCGATTTTTTAGGAACATAACGTCGCGGAACAATCATACCAACTTTGACGAGGAGAATATGAAGAATCTCAAGTTTGGGGGTAAAAGCTAGAAGAAGCGTCCATCAAATTCAACGTCAGAGCACAGACCGTCATTGGCAATTCAGACAATTCAGAGAAGTCCTCCTCATTTTCTTTTAATTTAACATTGGGGACAATGTTTAGTTTAAATTTGGGGGAAGTATATCATAAATTGTCTCGAATAGCTTTTTTTTTATTGTGTGAATTGTGTGCATTTAAAAAAAATATTTTATTTTATTTGGGTGTTTTGTTTTTAATTTCTTAATTGTATGCATTGATTAAAAAAAATTTCTTTTTGTGTTTTTGTATGCTTGTGTGTGTTAGATAACTTTGTCGGTATTTATATGTGTAATTGAGAACATGCGTTGATTTATGAATTGTGGACAAGTTATGTGTTTGAGTTAGATTTTTGCGTATTCATGTGAAACCAAAATTATTTTTGCACGTGAGTTGATTGTAGCGTTGTGCATTGGTAGATTGATTCATGTTTATAGGTTGGATTAGAGAACTTAGATGCTAAACCCAAATAACATTTAAACATTATTATACCTTAAACCAAAATTACAGGATGTTTGGTAGATTAAGTTGTTGTAGGAAAATTTGGAGAAAAATGTGGATTCTGTGTGTGCTAGTTTTTGTGTGGACTGTCTGAGACTAGTGGGATGAAAATTGGGTGAAAACCTTAAATTAGAGGTCAATTTTCGATGATAGGTGTTTAATAAGGGGCATTGCATTAATCACCGCATAAAAAAAAAAGATCCCAATGAGGACAACTTTAATAATCTCATTGTGAATAGTCTCTTCGTAGCCTTTACGACTCGAGTGATTAAGCTTGTAAGAGTTTAAAATCTGGTACTCTAAAGTCATCTAATTTGGAAGTCATCGACTTAAAACTCGCTTTAAGGATCATTTAGAAAGTTTAAGGGAGAGACGATCGCGCAAAGAGTGATTAAAGAATAAAAATATATATGAAAAAAATAAAAAATAAAAAGAGAAAAAAATAGATATCAAATGCCTTCATTAAACCCCGAATACTTGTTTTAGAGGATTAGACCTTTGATAAGGGGTTAGTAATTTGGTTGATTCCTAAAGATTGAAACGGTCAAAAATAAGGAGAATCCTCATTTGTTGACATGTGGAACTACAATCAGTAAAATTTAACCAAACTTGAGTGGTGTAAGAAATTAGTATTGAAAATTTAACCTTAGGTTACACCCTTAGAAAGAGAAAAGAAAATAAGTTTGGGGGTGTGTGAATCACATGAGCGAAGTAAGGAAAAATTTGACTTCTAAGGTCGAGAATTGCGTCAACTTATTATTGTACAGCATTGCACTTGACTCTCTCCACACACACACACACACACACACCCGTTTCGCATTGAATAGGTAAAAATTTAGCTTTTGCATTATAGCTTTGAAGTGATCCATGGAATTGAAGTTATGTTTTAAATCCTGAGAAATGGAAGCAAGCTATCTAGCGAAATTTATTTTAAGTGATTTTGATTGTCTTAATTGTGCTTGTGTGTCCATTAATTATTTTTATTGGTTTGGTGTTTGCTCGAGGACAAGCAAAAGATTAAGTTTGGGGGTGTTTGATGAGTGATTTACACTCATTATATTATCCCATTAATTTCATGAATTTGCTATCTTGGAGAGTATTTTAGAAGTGCTAACAAGCGATTTTGGTATTGTTTTGTAAATTGATGGAAGTAGGGAAAACAAGAGCTAAAAGAGGTCAAAGGAAGGAAATAGGCAAAAGTTAGCGAAATTGGATGAAATGATCAAAATGTAAGAGATCCAAAGTTCGAGGATTAAAATGCAATTAATCAAAAGTAGTGTTGAAACTCACGATGAAGATCCGAGAGCGCTAGGAGTCAATTGGATAAAGGAAAGTGTCAAAGGGATGAAATTTAGTCAAAATATGATCACAAATCATTTTCCAACCGAAAAGTTACGCGCCAGAGTTTTGGTCTCATATTGAGACCTATTTCTGTCATAGCAAACAATCGAATTGGAAAATTATGTTTGAAGAAAAGTTATAGCCCTTTGAGTTATCTTGCCAACGCATCTTGAATCACCTCGATCGAACATTGGATGAAAAAGTTATGGCAAAAATACTGAAGGAGGTAAAAACTACCTTTTCCATCCGAAATGGGCGCCGTGGCGCCCAAGATACTGAAAACAACAGTGAATGTGGCGCCGCCTGTGCGGAAAAACGGGATTTTATATTTATGGAATCTTTTTTTGGCCCAACTCAACCCTAATTCGTCCAATAA